GGCCTTCAAGGAAGTATAGGATTTGGATTGGCCAAGTGAAATGAAGGAGGCATTCCAGACAGAGGGCACCCCTTGAGAAAGAGCACCAAAGCAAGATTGAACATGTAGAGAACCATAAAGAAAGCAACCTGACTGGAGTGGAGGGTTCAGGTTGGTAAGTACCTAGAGATAACATCATTCTCTGATTGTTTTAACTTCCCAGCTAAAATATAAGTTCCTTTGGGGCTGAGTAAAATGCTGAGTACAGATTAGGCATACGACCAACTGCCCACTTTGTACCTGATAAATGAAGGGGACTGGTTAATGAAGAAATTTGAATTGAGAGGATGTGATCAGTAGGCAGCAGGAAACTATTATACTTACTCTTTAGCAGAAGATTGATAGAATAAAAATATCATTTTTGTAAGATTAATTGAGGAAAAGTAATTAAGAAGGTGTGATAGTGGAAACTGGACTCACAGGTTGAGAGGGTCATAAAATTTAGTGCTGGAAGAGACTGTATAGGTCACCTATTTCAACATCTTTATTTTATAAAAAAGGAAACTGAGACACTGAGAAGCTGAATCGCCTGCCTGAGGTTAGACAGCTATTAAGTAGCAGAGGTGGGATTAGAACCCAGGTCCTCTGATTGTAAATCCAGTGTTCTTTCTGCTACAGCATGCCTCTGAGCTTGTGTTTTAAAGAGAAATCATAGCATTTTAGAGCTGGAGAGGAGCAGAAAGATCTTTTAGTCAAAGCCGATCATTTTCACAGATGAGAAAAGGTAGCATAGTCTGATAAAAAGCATAAGATTGTAATGAAATCAGGACTTTAAAGTTTATAAAGTGCTTTCCTTAAACTTTGTGAGATAGGGACTGAAAATAATCCCCCCATTTTCCAGATGGGGAAACTGAGCCTGAGAGATTAAATGACTTAGCCTGAGTCACACAGTTTGGAACTCAAACCCAATTCTTCTTCAGGTATGGGGAACTACATAAGCAAAAACAAAGAACTGAGGGATGAACCAAATATACACGGAAAGTAATAATGACTGAAATGGAGGTGTGTAATAGAGAGTTGCAGAAAACAAAGCTGGGTGGGGGGGGGAGAGGACTGGATTAATTAGTTAATTTTACTCCTTATTAGACTCCAACATAAGAATTTATTGTGGGTAATATTAAACATTAGGTGAAGTTTATATTTTGTATCACAAGGCTCTCCATTTTGTACCTGTAGTAAGATTAGACTTGGTGGTCTTGAGACCAACGTAAGTCTTCCTTTAAGGGATACTGGAAACCATTGTTATAAGATTAGGCCTGATGGTCTTGAGACCATTATGACAGTTCCCCTCCCACCCTTCCAACCCCCCCTCCCCGATTCCCCATCTTAAGGAAGGCTATAAAGTTACAGACTGCTCATGGAAAAGTACTGGCTAGAAATATCTCTATATCTATACATACACACACACAACACACATACATATACCTATACATATATGTGTATGCATGTATGTGTGTTTATATGTATATATACATATATTGTGTATATATATAAATAATAAATGTGATACAGATTTATATAGTATAATAAATGTAACATAAATAATATCTTAAAATAATAAACTATTTTATTTGTGATTTATTATATTATTTATACTTATATATTTAATTTAATTATGTAGTATATTATTTATTTATACTATTTATAATTGTATAATTTAATTATGTATTATGTATTTTTATATAAACACATATTTATATTTATGTTTACACATGTATATATCTATATATATATTAGCTTAGTATTAGTACAGCTATATGCCCCAAAATAATCTTTCCAACAGTTAGCTGCTTGTGTACCTGTGTATCCCCCAAAATTCCCTGTGTGCCCTGAATCTTGACATACAAATAAGCCAACTCTAGACAACCACCAAAATCAAAGTTTAAGTATCCCACTCTCAGAAGAGCCCTTTGGAGCACATCTCCTCTCCCTGGGAGCACAACCATCTCACAGGACCAAGCCCTTGTAGATGAATGGACCCATGTCTCTGTGCTCCCCAATTCAACACTACCCTTACGTGAGTTTTACTCCATGTTAGTGTATATGTCTGGATTGTGTTTCAGATCCCCTACACCTTCTCCTTTTCTTCCCTTCCTCCAATCTTCTTTATTGGTGGCCAATAAAACTATTAAACTTGATCTCCAGTATTTTATGTATTATTCTCAGCATCTGAACTCATTAAGGGGTTTGTTTCCTCCAAAGTCTTTGATTGGGCCATAAGCCTCTCCCTAGACATAAATTAGCTGTTCAGACAAGGATTTTACCTATATAAGAAGTAGTCACAGGATAGGGAGCTGGAATTGAAGGCAATACATCCTGTATTCAAATCCTAGTTCTGCAACATACTGGCTGTGTATCCTTGAGTAAGTCACATAACCTCACTGTACTCTAGGTAGCTCCTTAAGGTAATTATTTGCAGAAAAAAGTTTTGATCTGCTTTGGTGGAAGGAGTTTCCTTACCTAGGAGTTCCCCAATTACAAGTCTGCATCAATATCCCACAACCATATGAAAGAATTCTCCAAATCACTAAAAGTAAAACAATTGCAAATCAAACACCTCATACATAGTCAACTAGCAAAAATGATAAAAGAATGAAATAGCCAATGCCAGATGTAGGAAATGCAGAAAGACTGGTACACAAATTTTCTTTGGGTAAAGTAGTAAATTGTTCCAATCACTCTAGAAAATAATTTGGAATTATGCTTTTTTAAAAAGTAACCAAAATATACATACTCTTTGATTCAGAGATCCCACTGCCAGGAATATATTCTAAGGAGAGAAACTAAAGAATTGGAATTGGAAAGAACTGGAAACAAAGGACAGTATAAACCCTTGATTGGGTAATAGCTAAACAAATTGTGTTACAAAAATATAAATGGAATATCACTGTGCCATAGCAATGAATATGAAAAATACAGTGAAGCATGGAAAGACAAATTTATGCAGAATGAAAAAAAATAATATATATCATGACTACAACAATATGATAGAAATGACAAAAAATCCTTTATTTTATAGTTCATATGGAACTTCTTTAAATTTATAAGAATAAGAGCCATTGCCTATCTTATAAATGCTCTGTTCTCAAAAGAACAAGTATGAGCTATCAACAGTCATATTTAAAAAATGCTCCAAATCATTCATAATTATACAAATGCAAATTAAAGAAACTCTGAGATTCTATCTAATGGTCATAAGATTGACAAAATTTATAAAAGAGAACATGTCAGTTGTTTTAGGAGCTGCAGGAAAATAGTCACATTAGTACATTATTTTTGAGGTGAATTGGTCAATTCCAGAATTGGTCATTCTAGAAAGGAATTTGGAACTATAACCAAAAAAGTCATTAAACTGTGTTTATCCTTTGACTTAGCAATACCATTACTAGGGCTTTAGCACTAGAGAAATTAAAGAAATGGGGAAAAGACTTATATGTACAAAAATATTTATAACAGTACTTTTTATAAAGAGGTATTCATTTGGAGAAATTGATGAACAAATCATGGTATTCAAATTAATGATGTTGTAAGAAATGAAAATTTGATGTTTGAGAGAAATCTAAGAAGATTTCTTTGAAATTATGAACAAGTCAACAGAACCAGGAGAACAATTTATATGATAATAACATTGTAAAATAGAACTTTGAAAGACTTTAGAACCCTTAACAATGCAGTGACCAACCAGGATTCCAAAGGACCTATGATGAAGAATGCTACCTACCTTCTGACAAAATGTTAATTGACTCAGAAGGCAGATTCAGACATGTATATTTTTAGATGTGGTCAATATCAGAAATTCATTTTACTTGACTTTGCATATTTGTTATAAGGATTTTGTTTTTCTCTTTCTTTGTCAATATATTGGGGGTGGGAGGCAGAGAAAATTGGGTTTTACAAATTGGAAAAAAAATTAAAAATTATAATGTTAATTTGTTCCAGAAGAAGAAATGAAAAATACAGCTCTGTCCTTTCATTGAAGAAGTTCATGGATATGACTGTAGGAAATTGCAAATACTTTCAAACTCAGTTTACACATTGCTTAGTTTTGCTGAGTTGATTTTTTTTCTCTTTTTTATTTTTTGTTACAAGAGATAACTTGTGAGGTAGTGGAAGAGGAGGAATATATTTGGAAATGAAAAATGATACAAAACCAAAAATATTTTAGAAATTATAGAAAAAAGAAAAAAGTTACCCTTCTTAACTATCTACCATAACAACCTTAAGAAAAGTGTGCTGAGAATGAATGAGATGTAATAGAAAGAGAATGAGACCTTGCTTGGTCTTGCTGAGTGACCTTGAACAAGTCACATACCTTTTTGAGTGGGTTTCTGTTTCCTCACCTATGAAATTAGAGATTTGGATTATATGACCTCCAAAGTCCCCTCTGAGCTATGACTTTCTTATTCCATGAAATTGAGGTATTTTCTTGAGGCTGATACTGTCTTTGTTATGTGATTCTTCCCTTCCATTTGCTTTTTTTTTTCATTAAAAATATAATTAAAATAATATTGGTATGCTAAAGATATAATATGGCTAGACAGAAATTTATCTTTTCATGCTCATTCTGTTCTTTGAGATAAAGCTATCAAATTACAGGCAGCAGAGCCATTCGGATCTTAAGTTGCATATCTTCTTCTCCCTGGCAATATTCTTTTACTTGAATTGATTTAGAAGAAATTATGTGATTGCTCCATATTGTCATTTACTGTGGACATTGTTGAACAATTTCCAACTAGTTCATTTTATTCTCTATGTGGGGCTCCTAATCTTAAAACACCAAGTCTTTTTTTTTTAATCTTTGCACAGGTCTAAAAGTTTGGGGTCATTTTCTTTTTAATTCAGGGGTGGAGTAGAGAACATTCCTTCATCATGTGTGAGAACCAGCTGACTCTCTATTAATCAGTATGAATTGATACATCACCACTTGCTCATGGGTGGTTTCTATGTTTTGGTCTGTGCAGATTGAAGAAGTCCTGAAGATTGATGGAGGGCCATGCTATTCAAACAGCAGGCGTTGCTGAGACAGAAGCTCTTTGTGCTGGGAAGTCTTGCTATTGGAAGTCTTCTATATCTAGTTGCCAGAGTTGGGAGCTTGGATAGGTAGGTTGAACACACTATACCTACACACACACACACACACACACACGTGTCCATATATATACATTTAATTTATATATGCATTACACATGTGCGTATTCACATATATATTCTATCTATACATATATGTGTGTAGACAATCATGTGTATATGTGTGTATGCTATGAAGTCAATATTGATTTATGCTTCTATAGGACATCTTTTTAAACATATCCATTTGTTTTCTTTGTCCAAAATTCCCATGAAATATGCCTTCTGCAGTTCTGAATTTGATTGAGCCTTCCTTTGGGGAAGCAAAGAAAAGAAAAAAGTTTCAAGTAGCCCCAAGCCCTGATATTTGTCCACATGCATTTGTATTCTGCAGGCACTGGCACTTGTTTGCAAAAGGAACATAAAACAGTATACGGTAAAAATGTAATTCCAGGAGCTCATTCTGGTCTGCATGCATCTGTGTATTGACCTCTAGCCTTAGCAAAACAGTGATGATGTATTTATGTATCATCTTCTCCAAATTTATGAGTGGGCAATTAATGTGTTACCGTAATAGTTAAAATTATGTATGAGCCTGCAAAGGAACTCGTCAATTTTGGAAATCCTATTGCACTTGAAAGATGGCTGCAGGCTTGGAGAATTTTAACTATGTTAATTAGCTCCAGCTTTCAGTCAGGCTCTGAATGCACCAGGCGAGGTGCCTATCTCTCCGAGAGATTACCCTAAGAGTCCTGGAAAATCCAAAGTGAAGAAATCAGTAGAGAGCAAGGATATATCTCTGAGCAGGCAAACACTTGAAATGCTATCAGGGATGTGAGTCCCAACACTACCAAATGGCTTCACACTGAACAACTTCAGAAAGTCCTGGATTCTCAGTGATAGGGAAGAACAGAGAAGCTAATTTCTGAAATGAGAATAAACCTAGAGAAACTGGGGTCCCCAAAGGTTAAGGAAATATTGGTTGGAATAGACAAGCTGTGCCTATCTCACTTCTTGACTGTAAAATCCATTTCTTCCACTGGAAAGATTGAAGCTCTGAACTCCTGCTGCTTCCTCCACTAACCCAGCAGCCATTGTTACTGAAAATGCAGCTGGGCTTAAAATTGGTATGATAGCCAACTTTCAGCTTTCCTTCTCTAACCAGGACCTGGAACCAGACCTATATGTCTGAGTCCTCAAATTCTAAGCAACAAATACTTTAAGATTATCCAGCCAGAGCAGAAGCTGAGATTCTTTTGAATTGTATAGTGAGCCCTTTTGACAATTTAATTCCAAATTCCTAACGAGGTTCATCACTAATTAGAAACAAGTCATGGCTAGTGATCTTATGAGATGCTAAGGGACTGTAGTTTCACAAGCTGATGCTTGGCTACCAATAAAATAGCATAAACTGAAGGCTGGCTCTCTAGCTGCATCATTGTTTTCTTATTATTAGTTGCTCCTAATAATTTGCCTTTTATCCCCAGTCATTACTTCCTTCATCTTTTTTTTTTCTTCCTGATGCAAATAAATCTGATCTTTTTGTAAGGGTTTGCATTGGCCAGCGGGCTTCTCCAGAAATTCTCTGCTTGGAGGCTTAGCCAGATTATGTCTAAACTCTGAGAGTGGTGAAGTTTCTTGAAAAGCATCAATTACTTTCCTGTCTATCAGTAATCTAGATGACTACATCCCACATACATATACTATGAATATAAATATATAATGTTAGAGTACCTACATCTTGAAATATTTTCTTTTAATGAAATATAATACTGTGTTAGTATCTTTCCCATGGCTTCTCAGTAAAAAGACTATCCATGCTGTTAAGCACTAACTGTTTTCTATTTACCTATTGACCATAGGATTTGCCATCTGAAAAGGCTTTTGGGATCATCTGATCCAAACTTCTCATTTCTCAGATAATGAAACTGGGAAAGAGAGAAATGAAGTCATTTTTTCAGTCATACAGGTAGTTAGATATTAGCAAACTCAGGACTTAAATCTAGGCCTCTAACTTCAAATCTAGTGCTCTCCTCCCTGTACCACACTACCTATTTACACACAAAGGAAAGGCAAGCAACCTGTAAATGTTCATCTGTTGAGAGTATCAGTTAAAGGAAAGACAGTTCCACAGAGACTTTGCATTACCAGAGTGACTGGAAACTTCATTCAATAGGATTTAATTAAATGTGCTCGTATGGCCAACATTATCTCCTCTCGAAAAAGAGGCTTAACCTGATTTGTTAGGTCAACTTGGGAAAATTAAGACTGAATTTCAGAAATGTACCATATCCTCAGGATGAGGTAATTATTGGATTATATAGGATCATTGGTTTAGAGCTGGAAGAAACTTTAGTCAGTCAGTCAATGATCACGTGTTTACTAGCCCAGGTATTATATTAATACTAGGGATACAAAGAAAGGCAAAAAACATGGTTCCTGCCTTCAAGGAGCTCACAGTCTGAAGGATGATACAAAATATAAACAACTATGTAAAAACAAAATGTATACAATGTAAATGGAAGATAAGCTTAGAGATAAGTAACTAACAGAGGAAAGTCGATGTGTGTGAATACTGGGAAAGGCCTCTTGCAAAAGGTAGGATTTGAAATGAGTCTTCAGGGAAGCCAGGGAAGTTAGGAGGCAAAGGTAAGAAGGAAGAGAGAATTCCAGGCATGGGGGATAGCCAGTGAAAAGGCACTGATTGAGCAATCGCATGCCTTGTCCAAGGAATATAGAGTAGAATAAAGTATAAAAAGACTGGAAAGATAGGAAGAGGCCAGGTTGTGACAGGCTTTAAAAGGCCCTTAGTAATTATCTAGTGATTTTAGTCCAACTACCTCGTATCATAATTGTAGAAACCAAGGCCTACAAGATAAATTAACTAGCCCAAGATCACATAGGTGCAAAGAAGCAGGGTCAGGGTTTGGATCCATCTTTTGGCTTCAAATTCACTCCTCTTTCCATGTTATCACCATCATTTGCCATACCTAGTGAAATTGTTGATCTGATCAATTTGTTTCACCAACCATTTGTAAAGTAATTGTTATGTTCACTGCCTGGTGCTTCTCTGAAGGACATACTCAGTCTCTGTTCTGGAGAAGATTAATCTAGTAGAGAGAGAGAAGAAACATGAACTAGAAATGCCAAAACTATGCCAAAACTATGCCAAAACTATGCCAAAAAACAGGCTGTGCTCAATGCATAGGAGAACTATATGATAAAGTGTTAGGAAATAAGGTCATATCATCTCTTAACAGTGGTCATAACCTCCTCCTTCAGCAAAGGTTCCTATTCATTTTGCAGAATTGCCTAAGCAGAAACTTTCCTTTTATATTCCATCCTTGTTATTAGTTTAGATTGGAAATACCAGCTAATAATAATGATAATATCCCACCACGTGACTGAAAAACTCACATGTGAACTGACTCAGGTTAAGATATAATTAGAAATGTTTAACAAAATAAGTAAAGAATATAATAAAACATAGATAATATTAACTTGGGTTTTACTAAATTGATATGATTTCTTGATTGCCGGAGAGGTGGGGAGAGAAGAAAAAAAGGAAAAAAAAAGAAATTTACATGATAACTTTATTATATATTTAAAAGGAATAACAAGTTATGCATAATAGATTTGCAGTTTCGTGTGGAGTCATCTTTTTATTATACTGTGTTATGGAAATGTTTATTTTATTCTATAAATTAAAAATAAAGTAAATTTTAAAAAATTTTTAAAGAAAATGAGCTTAATTTCCCCTCTATGTTAGCTCTAAGTTTTTATTCACAAGCAGAAGAGACATGAAGCAATCCAGCTCCATCCTTGAACTAATTGACTCTGAATTTGCACAGGTGCTCAGTGAAACATGCTACACTTGCTGTTGAAAGTTGAATGTGTTTTAATGTTCATACTTTGAGGTTCAAGAGGCCTCATGGCAGTGAATAGAGATCCAGCCTTGAAATCAAGAAGACTTAGGTACAAGTCCTACCTCTGACACATACTCTCTGTATAAACCTGGATGAATCACTTAATCTAAGATGGCGCATTGATTTAGTAAAACACATATTAACATTATCTATGTTGTATTATGTTTTTTATTTATTTTGCTAAGTGTTTCCCAATTGTATCTTAACCTGGTTCAGTACACACTCATGAGTTTTGCAGTCACATGTGGGACCCAAGTTTGACACCTCTGCTCTAGACCACTCTCTAAGATCGTAAGTTGGAGAGAAAGAGAAAGAGCCAACCTGCCTTGGTAGAGAGAGGTTTCTTACCTATGAAATCACAGGTCCAATCAGTCAACTAGAATCTGTTAAGCTCCTACTATGCTCTAGACACCATGCTAAATGCTGGGGATACAAAAAATGACAAAAGATAGTCTTGCCCTGAAGCAGCTTACAGTCCAATGGAGGAGCTTATAGTCTAATCATCCCTGTCCCCTATACTGAATCACAGGATTAGGGGAGCAGAAAATCCTTGATCTCTTTAGATAAGTAAACAAAGAGAAGCAGAGAATGTCATATACATCTCCGCATGTCCCTAGCTTTAAGTACAAAAACTCTGTCACATTTACATGTACTGGAGAGCTTAGTAATTTTTAAAATTAATAGGTTGCAATCTGCTGTAATTAATTGAAGGTGAGGCCCAGGACTGCTGTTTTGTTTTATTATTATTACTTTTTAATCAGATGTCAAAGCTTTTTAGAGTATTCAAATGCCAAAGAAGTGCAAGGAAATTGGGCATCCCAAAAACACTCATCAAAAGATTTTAAATCTGCCACCTTCGCACATTTTCCAAATGATGCTAACCAGCAAGCTGTTTAAAAAGCCATTAATATGACTAATGTTGCCTGTCCATCTTTCACTATAAGCGAGAGTATACTGTAGTCAATTAAGTGCTTGGTGAATAAAAAAAAAATTTAAGGAGCAATAATAAAAAAAGAAAGCTATCAATTATATTTGCTTTATTAAATATTAGGTTCCCTAAAATAAAATTCCTCAAGCATATGCTCATTGTGGATTTCAGTAGTCTGAGAGGTCAGTGGGTTTTTGTTTTGTTTTTTGTGCTTTTAAAAGTCTTTGCTCACTCTATCTGGCTTGAAAACCAGAAAAAAGAAGAGTTGATTGCAATGAGCGTCTTAAAGTCTCCATTTGTTGCTTGCAGACTACAGCCCATTTGCCCAATTGAAGGTCGATTTGGAGCCCGCAGTCAGGCTGAAATCCCACTCCGGGCGCTGCAATTCAAACGTGGCCTTCTCCACGAGTTCCGGAAGGGCAACGCTACCAAGGAGCAGATTCGACTCCACAATCTGGTCCAGCAACTCCCCAAAGCCATCATCATTGGGGTGAGGAAAGGAGGCACCAGAGCCCTGCTTGAGATGCTGAATCTCCATCCTGCTGTGGTCAAAGCCTCACAGGAAATCCACTTTTTTGATAATGATGAGAATTATGCCAAAGGCATTGAGTGGTACAGGAAGAAAATGCCATTTTCATACCCTCAACAAATCACCATTGAGAAGAGTCCTGCCTATTTTATCACCGAGGAGGTACCAGAAAGGATTTACAAAATGAACTCATCCATCAAGTTGCTGATCATTGTCAGGGAACCCACAACAAGAGCTATTTCTGATTATACTCAGGTGCTAGAGGGGAAGGAGAGGAAGAATAAAACCTACTACAAATTTGAAAAGCTGGCAATAGACTCGAATACCTGTGAGGTGAACACTAAGTATAAAGCTGTGAGGACCAGCATCTATACAAAACATCTGGAAAGGTGGCTGAAATACTTTCCAATTGAGCAGTTTCACATAGTAGATGGAGATCGGCTCATTACAGAACCACTGCCAGAACTCCAGTTAGTGGAGAAGTTCCTCAATCTTCCTCCCAGGATCAGTCAATACAATTTATACTTCAACGCTACGAGGGGATTTTACTGCCTGCGGTTTAACATTGTCTTTAACAAGTGCCTGGCAGGCAGCAAGGGACGCATTCATCCGGAGGTAGATCCCTCTGTAATTACCAAATTGCGCAAATTCTTTCACCCTTTCAATCAAAAATTCTACCAGATCACTGGGAGGACATTGAACTGGCCCTAAATGAATATATCCTACAACACTGTGTGTTGCACCAAGAGGGACACAGTGTCTTCTTTAGATTCAAATATGCACTTTTCCAAAACACAGCTATCCAAGTCTTTTTTTTTTCACCCCATGAGTACTTGTACATATGCAGTGTGTGACCAAATATACAGTGGGATCCATTTTTTTTCTACTGAGAAGTAAACTGAAAACAATTTAATCTCTACATAGTTGTATCATTTTTTTTAGTCTATTTAGAGAAAGAAGAGGTGGTATTTGGGGGGTGGTAAATGAATTCAACTCTTCTTCAAAGAGTCAGTCTTCCTTTGACTCAAAGTTTGTCACTTGCCATTTTCATAAATCTAAGCCAAATGATTAATATGTGAGACTATACAGCTGGTTGTGAAGCTTCTGGATAGATCAGGAAGTATAAGATGAAGTATACATATGGTATGCATATTTCTAAGGGAATACTGGCTCTTTAATTCAGATGCTGAATTAGTGCCGTGAAACTGGGTCATACTACTTTCATCTTATTTCCAAGAATGTCTTTCTCATAACAATTTGACATTGTTCCAAAGTTCCTGTGGTGAGTTTGCACTATTATTTTCTTGTATGGACTATCGTGTCACCTGTAGCATGTCAAGCACATGTCCAACAGTCCAATCTTTTGCCCTCAATGTTGTATGTCAGCAAAGAGAAATGTTGTGTACATAGTGTATATTGCCTGTAAATACTGGTTTCACAATAAGTAATTCTATTTTGTAAACTGAATATGGCTATTTAATTTATTGTGGAAATTAAATTTATTGTGGTATTTAAAACGGGAATGGATTAAAACGACTATATGTGAACTTTCTTTTCAATTTCTTTTCCCATATCTCCTGCTGGCTCCCTAGGCCATTAATGTGTGTCTGCAGATGAGAGGGTATAAGAAGTGTATACACTCCTTTTAATTTTTGTACCCTTGAGGAAACATATTTATGAAGTGAAGCAAAGTCTATTTAAAAATCTCAACCATCTGGATATCGGGTCTCATAACCATCTCAGAGAACACTAGTGCTCATTAGCTACAACTTTACAACAATTAATTCATTCCCTCGCATTTGCTTCCCCTGTGCTAGAAGAGCAACAAGGAACATGTGAATAGAACCCAGGCACAGTGTTAACAACAAAGCACTTTCCTGGATGCTCTAATCAAAGTCAGCCCAGCAGAGAGATTAGATCAAATAAGATGAGACCATTTCTGCAGTCTGTTTAGACCAAAAGCTGCTGATGTTTTCAGAAAGGAAGGCGGGATTTCAGTCCTCACTCTTTGAAATGAAAATATATTAGGCTGCTCAAAAATGATCAAGTTGCTGACAGTGTAGTTATTACCAGCATCAACATATGGCTCATTTTTTCCATCCAGGGAAATGAATGCTAAATTGCGTGTCTTACAAACATTAGACATACTGTATTATGCTTAAATATGTATCAGAAAAACAAGGAAAGAGACGTAAACAAAAACAAACTACATTTCCATAGTTTCAAAGGATCTTAGATTTAGAGTCAGAATGGATGACAGAGGTTCTAACTTCCTTCTTTTACAGATAAGGACACTGAGTCCCACAGAGTTCAAGTGACTCACCTGAGATTACACAGGTAATAAGTGGCAGAGGAAGAATTGGAACCCAGATGCTCAGACTCTAGCACTGGGACTCTTTTCCTTTCACAATTGTGCCTCTCTCAAAAGTTTTGCAAGAATTGATGTTTTTGAAAATCATGGACCAATAGGACATTGGGAGGCACTATAGAAATAAGTAAATTACAATGATATCCTTCTAGGCTATAATAAGTTTGGAATTCCCCAAGGGACGTTTGTCCTGTTCCATGATTTAACAACGTGCTTTTGTAAATAAGTGACTTTTCCATCTCTAGTGGTAATCCACATTGCTAGTCTAGTTGTGACATTTTAAATCATTTACACAAGTTTAATTAGCAACAGATGTTATTCCTCTCAGGGTGAGAATAGACATGCCTCTCAGAACACATATGTAAAGCTAAGAGCTCACACTATATATTCTGCTAGTAGGACTCTGAGGTCAGATTCCAAGATCTAAGCTATTAGGATTTTTTTTCTCTTGAGCCAAAAACAAAGTCAAATTGAAGGAACAGAGAGCCAGATTCTTACCCATACATAAACACGGGAGAGCGATTTTTGAGCACGGAAGCTTTGTTGGTGTTCTTTGTTTAATCAGGGAATCCACCTGTCATCCTTCTACACTCCACCAGTCATCCCCCTACATGCCAAAAAAAAACAGCAGTTAGCTACCTGTTGCCACAACTATAAATGTTTTCAAAAGTTTGCTGGTAAATGCTTAAGAACCAGTTCTCTGGGTAAAAAAATAAGAAAAAAATGCAAGTATGACAAATTTTTAAGTATAACCTGTACTATTAACATGTTCTCCATCGCTTTCTTAAGTCTAAACAACAAAACAAAAAAGATTAAGCTCTGGTTTGTAGTGTTTGTCAATTTCCTAGGTATAAATGCTCACACTGAAAATTTAATGATCAACCCTCAGGAGTCAGTAAGGGCTGGCTCCAGCACACCCCTGATTTTTGATCCCCATACCATTTAACAGAGAAGTAATGTGGCTTCATAGCCAGCAAGTCAATCTCGAAGCCAGAACAGACTTTAGTTCAAGTCTTATCTCTGACACATACTTATTGTGTGACCCTAGGCACATCCTTCAATTTCTTGGTGCTCTCAGAAATCCCCTAAGACTATAAGTTGCAGAGAAGGTGCCACCTTGGTTCATTAGAGGGAGTTTCCTCACTTGCAAATTCCTTATAGCAATGAATCATAACATAAAATTCCATATTAGTAAAGTGAAGGTAAGAATATCATCTCAGTGAGTTCCTTGACATGGGAGGTCTTCAATAAGTGGGTCGGATGATCACTTGTGAGGAATTTTATGAAAGGGATTCCTGTTTAGCTGCATGTTAGCCTAAATTGGTGGTGTCAAACTCAAAGAGAAATAGGAGCCCCTCATTCCTCCATAAGGATCCCTGTGGATTGAATATTGACTTAATTTTAAAATGTAATGTTATCTATGTTTTATTATATTTCTATTTATTTTGTTAAATATTTCACAATTACATTTTAATCTGGTTTGGGCCACACTCAGCTTTGCAGGCAGATGTGGCCCCTGTATTTGGCATTTCTCAACCAAATGCTAAGGTCTCCTCCAACTCTGAGATTCTTAAGTCTGTGAAACAACTACTTGAGTACAAATTAAACTTTTTGAAAATAACATTCCCTCTTTGGGGCCACTAAGATGCTAGCTGAGACAGTTCTGTTTTTGATCTTGTTATTTCACAGAATCCTGCCATAGAATCACATGGCTGGAACACTGGCCTCATTTTGTGATCTGGGTGACTATCCAGTTTCGCTTAAGACACAATTATATCCTTTTGCTCAGAAATTCAAATGAGGAGGAAAGATTAAAAATGTTCTGACTCATGTGGCATAAAGGCCCTAGAGCCATAAAGGACCTTAAATGTCATGCAGTCCAACCCCTCACTTTATAGACTAGGAAACTGAGGCCCAGAGAAGGAAGGTGACTTGCTTCAAGTCACACAGGGAGTAAGTGGCCGAGCTGGTCTTTTGACTCTAATTCTTATCGCGCTGTACCAAACTGTTTCCCCTCCTATTACTCGCTAGAGATTTTCAGGATGCTTGTTTTGCAAAGCATTTCTTGCTAAAGATGAATTGGAATATAAATTCACAAAACTTACACACAAACCTTAGTGAAACTCTCAAGTTATTATAATAGCATCCATAGGAAAGTATGTAATAAGTTGCTGTTAAGGGCTGCTAAACAAGTCTTTCACATCCGTGTGACCCTAAGTATGTTATTTCACTGCATTGTGCCTCAGTTCCCTCATCTGTAAAATAAAGAGGCTGAATTAGATGGTCTCTATGGTCCCTAGCACTAAATCTATGAACAGAATCTTACAACCTACTTCATAACCTTAAAAGACCTTGGAAACCATGTGACTGTATACAAAATACCAAAAATATCAGATGAAAAGAAAAATTGAGAATCACACAATGTTAGAACCAGAGGAGACCTTAAACATGATTCAGGGGTTCTTAACCGTGAATCTGTAAATGTGTTTCTTTAACATTTTGATAACTGCATTTCAATATAATTGGGTTTCCTTTGTAATCCTATTTGTTTGATTTATTTTAAAACATTATAGGTGCCCACAGGATTTGCCGGAATGCCAAAGAGGTCCATGACCCCAAAAAAGGTTAAGAATTTTGCGTCTAGTCCAAAGTTATTTTATCGATAAGGAACTAAGTCCCAGAGGGAAAAAAATGATTTGCCCATACTGGGTGGTACAACCAAGACTCAAATCCTACCTATGAATGAATGTCTCCAAATCCAGTACTCTTTCTAATATACCAAGCCAAGTCATCTATATGTTTCCAAATATCTATCTGACTTCTTTCCTTCATTATTTATAAGACTGATTAGGCATTTTAGAACTATAATCTATTAAACTTCCTCTAATCTGAAATAGGTTTGCCAGATAATAAAGGAAAGACAGGTAAATGGAACTGGTTTGATTATAGTGACAGCTTAAGAGAGAAAAATGACAAAATTATTTCTAAAAACTAAGAACAGCAGTTTTATCAGTTCTAGGCTAAAATACCAAGTTAAGTAGCTCTCATCATGAGTATCTCATCATGGGAAACATATAAAGCAGCTTCTTAAATCAAGATGAAATTTTTAGTGTCATATTTTAAGAGTGAAAAGATTTTTTTTTCTTTTTTGTTGTTTTTTTGTCTGCTCTTGCATTGTGATGAATACTCAAGTGGTATTACTTGCAATTTGTCACTCCGTTTGAAGAACCCCATGACACTAGTTATAGTTTAAGCATTGTCAAAGGCTGGAGAATTAGAGATTATTCTAGATTGTGTTATTACTACTAGTTCTATTGATTCTTATCTTTTCACATATTGAGCATTCATTATCTGAACAGGATAGGAACCTTGTGTGTGGTTGTGGTTGTGGTTTGTCCGTTCTCGAAGAGGACCATGACATCAGGAAGATGACGATATGGCTTGCAATTGAATTGGATTTAAGTGAGAGAGAGCTGTGCAA